GACAATGTTGCTAGTATTCACACAAATAAACTACACAAATGTTATATCAAATGGCATTTTACAGCGCTGGGCGCAATTCTAAAGAACAGATGCTTGTGGCTGGCTTTTCATTGGGTTTATTTATGAAGCTCACATCACCGTTTCCCATTATCACTAATGTGTCTCAAACGACTTACACTAGGCGATCATTGTCTTTGGGCGTGCTTCACAGTCATTCGCCGTCTGCCATATTAAAACTAAATCCATTTTCGAAATCAAACACTTGTAATTGGATCAAGTCTAGCCTCTTTAGTTTTGTCAATGTCCTTCATTACATAGTGATTACATTGCAAGTTGGCCAAGGGATATGGAAGATGGGTCGTGTGAGTGTCTGTCCGTGGTGTAGTCATGTGTATGTGCCAGGCCAGTGGAGCTACGAACCATATACCGTTTCAGTTTTGCTCCACCGTTTTCCAAGTCCGACATTACATTACATTACATTACATTACATTACATTACATTACATTACATTACATTACATTACGTATCGAACTCATACGACTAGAACGTTAAATCTGCACAAATGTGAAACAAAATATAAACCGCGATGTCTTCGACATTGTCAAATTTGCAAATGTTTTTTTAGTCGAGAAAATTCAGCGCGCCAGCTTACCAATTTCGGATTTCCGTCACTGTAATTGGGAACACAACTGTTGTTAAAATTGGATAAACATTGTTATATTTGTCATTGTCGTTGATGCCTCACAGAAACCGTAAATAATATACCATATATCTGTTATTAATTGTCAGAGACAAATTTAATCACACCTATTTTTAAAATGCAATTTTGTGAATAGAACATACAAGACCAGAAGTTGATTGCAACATTCGCTCGCCTTTGTTGAACAAGATTGTGGTATTTCTAATATACGAACTAATTCGCAATTGTCACAAGATATCACACTTCTGAAAAATGGCGGTGTATGTTTAATCTGCACCTTCAGGACCATCTTTAGTTCTGTCGGCGTCCTCAAGGGTGAGAGATGTCCCATTTTTCCAACAAGAGATCGAGAAATTATAAAAATATATGTGATTATGACAACCAATAAAAAACAGGTTGTGGGGACGTCGGACGTGTGGCGCCAAATGGGATTCCATATATTTATATGATTATTTAAAATACAAGTAAAACGTGCTATTAACATGTGAGCGATCACGTCGTACCATTTGAGATATAGAGAATCAAGAAAGCTTCCTCAATGCCAAGATACAACCGCCACGCGATACAACTTATTTAATATTTAATTAACACGATGAATAACGAGTGCAATGATAACTATAGCTTGAATTTATAAAGGCTAAACAGATATTTTAGTTTGTGTTAAAATATAACCAGGGTGTATTGAGTTGGTTTAAACTACTGCAATGTGGTTGTTCTTGTTGGTGCATATCTACACCTCAAACACATGTTATTATAAGTATTCATATAGTGGCCACCGTGAAGCGACAACAAGATGAGGTCAGTTCATTTGTATTTCATTTGTATTTTAGATTGTACTATGTAATTAAGTTAGAGCAATATCACTGATAATTATGATTCGATTTGGGACAAAACTACGTAGGGCATATTGGTGTACTATAGACTGATAATTATTTTAATTACAATTACGACGGCCATAACTCAGCAGCTGCCGCCGTCTATTATATTAATTTAGATATAGATGGAAAATAAATGATCAGTAAGGGTCAAACAATCATCCTGTAACTTAATATAAGAA